TTTTATTTACAGTGCCATTTTTAATTTATTTGACCTTTTTGAACAGGATTTAGTTTGAAGCTCAGAAAAAAGGCAGAAGTGCAATGTTTCTTTAGGTAGAAAGCAAGAAGAAACTTTACAAATGTAACTGTTTAATAGACTTTTCACAAGTCGATTATAGAAAAAACATTTTTTTGTTCTCTTGAAATCCTTGAAATATCAGTAATGCCATTCGTTATGTAAATTAAACCTACATTTGTGGCCTAACGGATACATTTATAGACATACAATAGCACAGTTTTGCAAGAATACGTTCCAAATGAGAAAACGTTTTTGAATAAACAATGTAATTAAAACATTCGTCCTTGCAATTTAATAAATAAATAAACGTGCAACTTCAAGGCAACTACGACACTTTCCACCAAAGACCTTTTCTGCCTACTGTTGAACACAATAGTATGGACTACTGCAATGGGTTTTGGTCAAACTGAATTGTAGTTTGTGTCTTTTTTCCTCAATCTTTGCTCTCAGCTTTAATCTAGTTCGTAAGTGTGGACACATGATCATCTCTAAGCAGTTGGACGGAGGGAAGACTTGATCACAGGTTCATAACCCGGTTGTAAACAAGCCTTTCATCTATCTATCATACAGTTAGTTAAGCAGATTTCTGTGTGTCTGTGTGTGGTTGTGTATTTGGAGATGTCCAGGTCAGCTTGACCTTTGATCTACCTCAGAGTTGTATCTGTTGTCTGATTGGTCGGGCTGCAGGTCTATCTGTCCGATCAGATGTAAAAGCGCCGGCTCAGGAGCTGGTGTCATGCAGAACTTCATCTTAAATGCATCTAATAGTCTTCATTTTTAGAGAAACTTCTATGTTTTGTATCTGTATGTCTTTCTGTTGTTGTTGTTTTTTTTTATACATTGCATTGTGATGTTTCTGAGTGTGGAGAATTTCTTTATGGTCTTCTTTTTTTGTCCATTTTCTTCCTGATAGGTGCAGCAAAAAAGAAGAGGCTTGTGTAATTTTTCCTGCGTTTGTTTGGTCTTTTTACAAAATTCCATATAAACTACCTTCTCTGTATTTTTTTTTCCGGTTTGCTGTAGCCTCTCCGTATTTAGAGGCCTACTCTGAAGAACCAAAGTGAAATATTATCTTAGTGACTAACGTGTGTCAAAAAGCAGCACATCGTAGTTTCACTGGAGAAATACAGTGTCTTTATTTCAGATGTCAAAATAAAGGCTTCCAAACAGCAATCATTCACGCAGTGCATAAGCATAGGACTGTTGTTGAAATACTGAATTTTTTAAATTGTTTTATTGAACACCTGCCACTTGCACGTCCAGAATTTGTTTGTTTTTATTTCTTTCTTTTTTTTCTGTTGTGAAAAGAAAAGATTTTTGAATTAAAAGAGCTTAAACTTGTGTTTTGGTGATTTTTAGGAGTGCGTAAGTTCACAGTATGACTACATGCTTAGCTTGCTTATGGAGCAAACTAATTCTGTAGGAACTTCTTGATTGTCTTGAATT